CATGTATGTGTGAATGCTCGAAGATATCTTAGATTTCTCCATCCGAAATGTGTGTAGTTACCTACACAACTCAGATCAACATCAGGATTTGAAAAATTTGAGTATTCTCCTAAAGAAGTTAAAGCTTACATAGCGAAATGTTCAGAAGAATCTTGTTTTGATTTCTTAAGCACGCTGGGATTAGAATATGCTATCATAATGACTTAACTTAGTTGATGACACTCTAACAACAAATTTAATCAAACGAAAGGTGACTCAACTAATTAAGATTGAAGGAACAAATATCTAATTTTTATAAAAAGAGGTGTGATCAAATAACAGTCAGTGTAGGTTACTAGGATAAACAGGAGTTGACTAATGCTTCTTTTTGAACACATAAATCAGGTTTAAGGTGTTTGATAGATATGGCCTCAATATCTTCGCCATTTGCGTGTTTATTATTATGTTGAAGGAATTGAAGACATGTGTATGATGGTCCAGTTTCAATCAAGTGCGGAGTGATTCCGCTGTTCGAAGCTTAACTTCCTTTTAATCTTAAGCTCTTCGAAAAACCTAAGGTATGCACTTCTTTCTGTTTTTCCAATCTATCTTCTTTGAGAGCCACACGTATGCACAATCGAAAAGGTATCATAGTAAGGGTTTCTGTGGATTTTGACTGGAACAGTGAGCTCGTTTTTTGGTACGATGAAAAGGGGAAGTTCTAGCTGATGACATCTTAAATCGTCTGTTGACAGTTCCTTCGATGTTATAACCTTTGAGGTTGAGGCAAGGGAATACTTAGTATAGTTTCTTTGTCCTTTGTCTTCCATTTTTATATATTTCCTGATAAATGTTTACAAATATCGATTGTCCCGTGGATATCCTTCAACTGCACATAACTCTCCCTCCATGTAATCATTTTCAGTCTGTTAAATAGTGTTAAACAATGCCCGTTTGTAGTTAGTGAGACAAGAGCTACTTAAATTCAGGTAGGTGCCACTCCTCTTGCTGTTGCGGTGAATAAAACCTTTACAGCGCATATATGTTGTACGCCGATATCTGGAAGTTGGACTTTCCATAACTTTATATTCTATGGTAAATCCAATGTTTTTAAAACGTTCTAACAAATGCGGTGTATGAGATAAATCTTTACAAACAACAAAAATGTCATCAGGAGTCGGACTTCGTAGCCCAGTTGGTAGAGCATCGAACCGGTAACTCGGTGATCACTGGTTCGAATCCGGCCGTGGTCCAGATTTCCATCTCACCTTCAATCATCACCCAGTATAAATAGTAATCTGCCAAACTGTGGCTATCTCATATAGTCAAATGATAAAAATGTAGATATATCTGGCGCAAAATATCGTTTCACTAATTAAACCTTTAAGTTTTGTGTTCTCTAGGGTACCTAAGAAGATGGAACATAGGCATGCTTACAGACGCCCGACAATAGCTGTATTTCTCGACCTGAAGGCGGCATTTGACTCCGTTGATCGAGAAGTCTTATGGCAGTGTCTGTCACTGAAAGGCGTGCCTAGTAAGTACATCACCTTATTGAAAGCTCTCTACTCGAACACTTGTGGGCATGTTAGAGCCTATGGTGAGTTGTCCAGGGAGCTATACTCATCAAGTGGTGTCCGTCAAGGATGCCCACTATCCCCATTCTTATTTAATTTTATCATAGATATTCTTATGGAGGTTTCCCTCTCGTCACCTAATTACAAAGACGTTGACCGGATCACAGGTGAATTTTCCTTAGATCTAGAATATGCAGATGACATAGTCCTGTTAGGTGAAGACGCTGACAAGATGCAGAGTCTTCTGAACACTTTGAGTGGGAATTTGAGAATGTTTGGGATGCGATTTTCACCACCCAAATGCAAATTTTTGCTCCAGGACTGGTCTTCAGCGGTACCGCGGTTAACAATAGAGAGTGAAGTGGTTGAGTGTGTTGACCACTTCACTTACCTGGGAAGTAGGATCAACCCGGTGGGTTAGTTGCCGATGAGATTTCTGCACGGATACAAAAGGCTCGATTGGCTTTTGCCAATTTGCGCCACCTATGGCGCCGCCGTGATATTCGTTTGTCTATTAAGGGTCGCGTGTACTGCACAGCAGTCCGCTCTGTTCTACTGTATGGCTGTGAAACATGGCCATTGAAAGTGGAAGACATGAGAAGGTTACAGGTATTTGACCACCGTTGCCTTCGTAGTATAGGACGTATTCCGTGGTGTCACCATGTGAGTAATGCAGAAGTTAGGTGTAGAGTTTTAGGGAGAAGAGGTAAGTCAGTCGACGAGGTTGTGAACCTTCATCGACTGAGATGGTTGGGACACGTACTACGTATGCCTAGTCACCGATTGCCTCGTCACACAATGTTGGCTGAGGTGGGTTCAGGCTGGAAAAAGGCCCGAGGTGGCCAGACTAAAACATGGCACCAATGTATGAAGTCTCTGACTGTTGGTTTAAGCCATGTAGGACGATGCAGACTAGGTGGTTGGGGTCCACGGGACAAGAGGAACCAGTGGTTGGAGACCCTAGGTGATATGGCTCAGAACCGAAGTCAGTGGCGCAGATGTATACACACATTATCCTCATCTTAACAACGCTATACCGAATCTCACTATTTTGTCACTCCTCTTTCCTTTCTTCTCATACTTTATATTTCTTTTGACTGCATTCACTTATCTTCATCCTTCACCTCACTACCTTTTTACTTGATGTGCTGATATGAGGTGTGGCAACTCGGACCGTTACGCAGTAATGCCTGGTCCTATGTTGATAATGATGATGATGATGACCTAAGAAGATATCCACCAGTGTGGAACCTTATGGTCTTCCCGTGGCTACTCCATCAGCTTGACGATAGATTTTGTTTTTGATTTTAAACTCAATATCCTTGATACACATTAGTAGAAGGTGTCTAAAATGTGTCGCTGACAGAGAACATCCGTATACTGGCATATGATATCTAGGGTTTCCTAAAGTTGTATGTTTGTGAATAAGGAAGCTAATCAAACGATGCCATGAACCTCTTGGAAACGTATGATTCATTTTTTTGGGAAACCGAAGGAAGTCTTTAGGGTATATTCAGCCAGTTATCGACGAATAGATTTCAACTTGAAATATCAACCAATCTAACTTTGAACCACCCCTTCCTATCCTCATTAATTGCATTTAAACCTGTCATTTGGTCGAATAAATTCTCAAACTGAGCCTTTTTATCAATCCGATGATTAAATCTTGTTGGGACGTGAAACTTAAGTAGAGGTGACAGTGCTTCAGATTCCGTTTGGTTCATTTTACATTGGATATGTTGTGAATATTTTGGGTCAAGTTTTCTGGAAAGACTCTAAATAGGGGCTCTTTTACTAAAGTCTTTTACAAAATCTTATGGAAATTTTATAAGTAATTGATTTGAAGTTTCTGTATAACGTTGGTGAATTATATCCGACACGCAATGCTCAAGTCACTGACTGAATTCTCAAAGACACTGGGTGATTTTGTTGATTCAATATGAGATTTTTTTATGTCGAGGGTTTTTAGTAGGCAGAGTTAGTTTACATAACAGTAAAAACTTGAAGAATTGGCGAAGGGAGCAGCATGAATTGGGCCATTTATCATATAACTGGAGTCACATTATTTCTCTTGACATTCTTCACTCTATCGGTACCAATTGATTCAATGACTTGAACGACTGAGTAGAGAGGCATTTCTTCAGAAATTTCATACATGAATTCCCCTTTATGAACCTGAAATGCTTGTATGTAGTATTTGGTTATCTAAAGTTTTCTGTCGTCACAGTTTCAATGTGTCCGGTGGGTTACGTTGACTTTGTTCAGCATTTGTGATATATTATTTACTTAGTAGCTACAAATTCACACTTGATTGGCGTTTTCCAGTGCTACTGAAACTGCATTTTGACTGGTTTATTACTAGCTTAGTTATTTCATTGGTCATCAGTGATGCTTACAATACATGGTTAGTCTCGCATACGTCATCGTTCACTGTCGGCTAAAGTGGGTTTAGGGTGAGAAATAGTCAAAGGTAGCCAAATTAAAACGTGGCATCGTTTCATGAAGCCTCTGGTTTTCGATTTGAGACGTTTAAGGTATTCTATACTTTACGTTGAAGATCGGCGTTAAAACAACCCATTGGCTGGAGACTGTGTTTTATTCTCTCTGAATATCTCGCCTGTACTGTAGACGGTATAATATGGTAAATGTTTAATGTCTTCTCTTTTCGTATCAAGATTTCCCTTACTCTGCTGCTTTACCTTGACTGGTGTGACTCTCCATGAAGGTAAAATAGCCAACACACCTTTTCAATTAGCTCTTGCATTGAGGAGAGTAGCGTAAAGTGGTTTTTTGAGTATGCATAACACGATGCATGCACTTTGTCTCCATTCGTTTCTGTGGATGTATCAATGAATCTTTTATTTATTGAAATTATTTTCATGTTAGATGTGTGTATTTAGCTTGATAGATACTTTTTTTTTACCTGGGGGTGAAATATATTTGGACATATGTTGTGCATGCAGAGTCACCACCCACCTCAACGTACCATGCTAGGGATAGCTGGGTTAGGTTAGAAGAGGGTTCAGGATGGCCCAACCAAGACCTAACACCAGTCGATGAATTCCCTGACTGTTAGTCTGAGCCGTGTTTGGAGATGTAGACTCCCGGGCTGGGGTCTCCGAGATCATAGGAATCAATGGCTGAGAACTCTTGTAGACATGTCTGAAAGTCGGTTACAGTATTCACTCCTTAGCATCCAAATCTTGAATGTTCGCACTAACTGTTATCATCATATTGTTTATTGTCACACTACTTTATCTACTTTGATATTACTTTTTTTCTATCCATCTGTTGTTTGTGTATACTACTGTGAAGTGTGGCAACTTAAAGCTATTCCCTTGTGTGGAGGTTCTATGTTGGTTTTATGTCTGCCTGTCTGATTTTTACAGTCAAATATTAAAACATTACATGTGTGTGATGTTTTCTTCTTTGATTCACTAACAGTATATTGTCTCAAGACTCGCCAACAATTTCAAAGAAGATAATCAAAGTGAGTTTTTTTTAATATTATATATTTGTGTTCAAAAGATCAAGCACTGTTCAACAGTTAGCTTGTCACTCGGATAAGTGTCTCGTAGTCAATTAACATCATTGTGTTAGAATGTCAGAATCATTATGCACATTCGAACTACGCGGTATATGAACAGATTATAGTGTAAATATGAGGTTATTTGTTTTAGGTAATGTCAAAAACTAAGCTAGAGCCCACTGGTTCGAATCCTGCTACGAGACAGGTTTTCATTTCACCAATAATCACTCCGTATCAATAACATTAGTCTTCTGGACCATGACTATCTCAATCTCATTGGTAGAAGTTGTATCCTTGTATATCTTGTTTTTGTGTCTCAATAATCTCTTTCCGACTTGTTGATTGTGAATATGCCCAACTTTCCGTGGTGCATCCACCCAGACTAAATTAGGATGAGTGGGTTGAAATTCCTGACCTAATGTAATTTCTTGTCAATGGTCTGCACTACAGAACCATCTCGGTCCTTTGGACAATGAAGGATGTATATTCTTGTAACATATTATTTTGTTTACAATGTGTTTGTCTTCAAAAAATATTGTTTTTGACAACTATCGTTTTATTCGTGCGGAATGTCAGGGGAAATTTTTTTATGTTTCATATTTCCGAATATAAAATAACTATCGAGAGCTACTGATAACTACAATACTAATTTATCACAAGAAATCTCAGCATGCAAGAAATAGTCAATCTGACAGATCAAAATTGTCAAAGAAAGTTAACAAAACTGCGTATTCCTTGTGCTGTCACTAAAACAGCAGGTGGTTTCTGTGAATGTCACAGGAAAATACAGAGATGATTATACTCAAACCAGTAGGTGTGAATAAAAGCCTACGAGTAGGCTAAAAAACAGTATGCTTTTGTGGTAATAGATATTACATGGTTGGATATTAACACGGTTGGCTTTTTATTATAAATATATTTGTGATGAATATTTAGTGTGTGCAAATTGTAAGTATTCATTATATATATATATATATAATAAACTGACCCCATACTAAGCAAAACTTTTCGTATATGCAGTTGACTTTATTCACCTCTTTATCCTCATCACTGATTCACAAGTAAATTGTGTTGGTAATTCACCACTGTTTTCAGAACTGCTGTAATTAGTTTACCGCAAAAAAACGTTTTCTATCCAGTCATTTGGAATATTTATAATTAATTTTTTCGATATCTTTTAGATGGGTGCTATTTCAAGTCTGCTATATGCGATGGGTAATCTTGAGTTCCCAGACAGTCAAAGACAAGCCAGCCTAGCTTTGGAGGTGAGAGCAATAACTATATATATATATATATATATATATATATATATATATATATATATATATATATATATATATATATATATTTATATATTTATATATTTATATATTTATATATATATATATATATTTGAAGATACGGTATTTGACAAAGTAGTGAAGCTGTTGCTCAGATTGATATTACCCAAATCGATTGTACGGTGGGTTCGACTCTGTGTTGATCATAGAAAGCTGTAATCAGTTAACTTCATCTTCATACGTTGAACGTTTTTTAGTTCACAATATACATTATGATAACACAGCTGCTGATAATAAATGTTTCCTTTGTGCATTTTTTAGTATCTTTGTCAAACATATCCACTAGTAGACCAAGCTGTTTATGAAGCAATGGGTCCGGTTTTACATGATGAATTCGTTGTAAGTGGTACATTCATACGGTGATTATTGTGTTATCTCTTTTTTCCAATTTATTATCTACAATGATGAATCTTTCTAGAAAAAATAGGGAAGATTATATGCAAAATATTCCCAAAATGTCTTGGTACAAGTGATAGTTTATTGGACCTTTTATTTATTTTAAAATACTATATTATGTTCACTTTTTTTTAATACTAGCAGAAAATTGTTACTCATTGCCCTCCCATAATTGTGATGGTACTAGAAATTTGAAATGACGAAAATTTATATCTGGGACTGGAATTCTTGTTTTATTTTAGTTTTTCATTTATTTCGTTTATGTATCAGATCCTAGAAGGATTTTCCTACTGTTGAATAAGCAAGTATGTGGTACAAAGAGACACTGTTTTCGAGTGATGAACTTGTTGCAATCCTTTTTCTTCAAGAAAGAGTTGGGAGAGGTTGGTCTCAGAAACCGTATTTTCCTCTGTATCCTGTAAATTTGTGTCAAGGGTGTTGAAACTTTGTTTGGTAAGAGCACACCTGTAATACTAACATCCAAGAACTTAAATAAGCCCTTTTTTAGCGCTTTGCTGTTATACAGAACCAATGTGGTTTTCTACTATGTACCTTACTAAGAAACCTTCCTGAGCTGTTTTGGCTGTCAGAAATTCTCGGTAAACTGCTTACTTCTAATTGCACAATGAGACATTTGTAGTTGTCATGATCAACCGTACTCTTTGTTGTCAAATTTTTGCTCACTATTCTTGGTTTCTTCTACATTTTTGCATCTGCAGCACATGACAGTGATGTAGCGTCGTTTGTCTTCTGAAACCAAGATTACAGCGCACATTTATCTACGTTCTAATGGACTCAGAACAGGTAACTGAGAGACATCTTCGCGATCTTCATGGGGCTGAAACACTGTGAGTGTAGTCATGGAGGCAAAGCTAACTAATATTCACAGTTTCTCTTCAGTCAGCTGATGTCGATGATCATCTTCCAGCAGGTTGCGAGCGTAAGGGGTAGCGGAAGAAGCCTTGATGTCGACTGAAAACGTTTTTTGCTAGTTAAACTGAGAAATCTGCAGTTATTTGCGTTAGCTGACAGTTGTGTAGACCTGTTACGAAAATGTGTGAAAATGTGGGTGGTTATCGAAATTGTCAGTGATTTTCACCAGTGATTTCCTAATAAAAGATAACTTGCATAGTCTGATTGGTCTCTTTTTTTGCTTTCAATGGCCTTGGATTCCTACTGAAGTTGATAGTCGTAGTTGGAAAGAGAACTAAGTCCTATAGGAATACCAGTGCATATGAAGGTGAGAACGTATTATTGATTGTTAGATCGACTTAGATATTCACCATTTTGCAGCAGTCAGACATGATCCACTTTAAGTGATCAGTCTCTGATCACGTTGTATCATGAAAAGAGAGAAGTCTTCCTGTGCATAAGTTCACGGAAATTAGTTTGAGTTACGAGTGAAGATCACGACCACCAAACCAGAGGAAAACACCTATTTCCAAGATCTTATCGTTAAAACAGCCACCAAATTCTATGACATAGGCGTACTACCGTTGCCTGAGAAATTAGATGCTATTATATTTCATAGGAAAAATGTCCACCAAATATAAAAGTAAGGTTTTCTCCTGGGCACTTACAATCGTGATGGATATTACAGTGAACAATCTTTTGAAGTGGCAACCATGAGTGATGTTTATTGAGGTTGTCATCTCCATCTCTTTTCTCATTTACCTTAATCATAACTGTATTTGCTAAGATCACTCTCGTATTTCGACTCCATAGTGACTGTTCTCTTCATGGGAGTTCACATGGTTAACTTAGAGCATGTATCCGACGCAGTTTTGTTAAGTGAAGATGCTGACAACTTGGAGAGTAAGCATGATGGCGGGATTTCTTTTTATTCAATCGATATTTATATGTGTATTTGATACTGTCTGTTTGATAAATGAGTCCGTATTTTTAAAAATTTTTCTCTTAGAAAAATCCTGATTCACATTATATGCAAATGACTCCATTACAAGCAGATGTATTAGTGTCCAACAAAGTGACTTATTCTGGAGGTAAGAGAATTTCTTACATTCATACTTCAATGAAAATCATCATATTGCTTTTGTAGAAATCGATTAGCTCTCAATAAGTACTTTTTCCTCCCTATTTGAGTGTGAAATAAAGAACAAATGTATAGAACGCTTGATGCGATGAATGCATGAATTTCTAGATAACTGTTCAAATGAGTACCCCAAACAATTGAAAGCAGGGATGCAAACAAGTATGTTATGATTTAAGACAACAAACAAGATGTAGTATATGAAAATAAATTTGATGCGTCAAGTGGAAACGTGAAACGATTTGTAAACAAAGCGGTTTGCTCGTATAATGTGTAACACTATGTGGTCTCAAGAAAACAAACAGGAAGAATATATGGCTTAAACTACTTACTGATATGAATAATCGAAAGCCATTTACACTGTTAGTTAGTTTGGCTGAGATCAAAGAGGTACTGACTGATTGTCCTTCTCTTCTAGAGCCAGTTTTCTCATAACTCTATCCAGTTCAAGGTGATCAATCACTCAGCACGTGAAAACAGGAATGGTTCGAAAGTTTCGGTACTCTGAGCTAAATTGTTCTGGATTTTGCAAGAGGAGAGGGAAATAGCCATACGGCTTTCTACTACTGGTAACTGGTGTATCTTCTTCTCAGCTTACTACCTGTACCGCTCAACAGTATATTATATCTATGAAATAACCGCAGAAGAAAAGTGGTAAGAATTAAAATATTTCGTGTTTACAGATCTATCCTATCAACGTCATTTAATGAAATGAAGTTGCGTAATGAATTATCCGTAGGTCTGCACATTTGTTATTGTCACAGATTTTCATGAGGAATATACATGAGCGTATACTTATGAGGATAATATTTATCTCGAATGAAAATAAAAAAATGCAAATGAAGACGATGTTGGAAAATCGGAAGTGATAGGATTTACGAGAAAGTTTTCACTACATTTAGATTTCGTGAATTTCAGTGAGTTTGAATGTTAACATTGAGATTTTGACCCAGGATTGCTTTTTGTTTTTGAACGCTGAACAATGACTCAAGTTTACGAATGACTAACGCTTCGACAAACTTCAGTATGCGCCCCTGATCATTCCTGTATAATATCTTGAAGGCTGTTTTCGTATAAACCTTGCTATTCATTTCAGTGATATATTTTGCCATAGATGACGATGGATGTCTGTCACCTGCACTTATCAATGTTTGTGTGTGAAATTGCTTTCCAAGCCATTTAGATATGCGTTCACCCACCCTAGTTCGTACTGAACGATTACTCATCCCTATCTATGTGTGCCCACACATACACAGTGGGATATGGCATAATCATTTGTGCGAGGTTGAGATTTGTGGCGAAGCAGGTGTTTTGTTGTCTCAACAATGATGTGTATGTTTTACTGATAACAGATTTTGCTCTATGCTTCAATATCATACTACTCGTTTCCCCTCTGCATGGTACTTTAAGAAATATATCTTTCTTCGGGACCCAGGAAACTAAAGTCTTCGGTGTCAGCCGTTTTCTACAACGGTTCACAAACTATGATGGATATCCGTTTTTCATTAGTATGTCCGTCAGAAATTTCTTATTATCATCCACGGTATAAGATGTACAAATACGTTGGATTCTATCGAAAAAGCATCTTACTAAGTCTCTCTTATATTTCTTCTGGCAAAATATGACGGGAAACGAGTAGCATGATATTGAAGCATAGGGCAAAATCTGTTATCAGTAAAACATACACATCATTTTGAAACAATTTAGATAATGTAATTAGAAGACGTAGATTATGTGAAAAGTGTGGTGTATTAGCGCTATACATTTCAAACAATCTGATCACACATTTACTTGTTAAGGCATTATATATGAGAACTGGAAGTGGGGAAGGATAAATATGACGTAAAGGAATTCAATAATAAGAAAGATAATGAGAGGAATAAAAGACAAGATTTGAAGACAATCTTGGTAATACGATAGAATAAGCATTACCAAGGTAGGCTTATGTAAGGACAAACTGTTTTTGCAAACACGATGGGGGGTTAAATTTATTTGTGGCTAGCGCCTCAACAAACTTAAGTATACGCCCTGACAGTTTCTGTACAAAATTGTAAAGGCTGTTTTGATATCAATCCTGTGACTCTTACCAATGATAAGGACCATTGCTAGCTGATATTTACATGTCACACATTGAAGGCTTGACCGGCGACCTCATCAATAAAGTTACTGTCTATAAAAGATATATTGATGACATAATCGTGATATGTGATAAGCATGAAGATGCGACATGTTTGTTAGAAAGACTTAACAACGCACAAAACAACATAAGCCTGACATGTGAAGAAGAGAAAGAAAACCGTCTGCCATTCTTGGATATACTCCTAAGTCGTAGAAATGATGGTTCAATAAAACTGTTGATCTACAGAAAACCTACTTGGACAAGTCAGTATTTAAGTTTCCATAGCTTTTGTCCAACCCAACACAAGCGAGCTTTTGTAACTTGTCTATTTTAAAAGGATCTAGCATATTTGTACGGAGGACTCAATAAATGATGAAATCAAAATACTACCGGAAACATTGGTGGAAGATGGATATCCATTGAAGTTCATAAGCCGCTGCAAAAATCAGAGAGGATTCAAACCTAATCTATACTCTGTTTTGAAGAAATGCGTTTACATCGCGTTACCATACCGAGGAGAATCTAACAGCATAATATTAAAACGAAGGTTAAGTTCTGCTGTTAGCAAAACGTACTATGCAGCTAAGCTTATCATAGTTGAGAAGACCAAACACCTGCTGCTACCTAGACCTCAACGCTGGATAAACGACTGCGTCACATCCCACTGCGTTTATGAATTTACATGTGTGTGTAGACAAACATACATAGGGAGGCCTATTCGTGATATGCACTTGAGGGTAGGGGAACATGTTCCAAAATGGCTACGAAAGCAGCTGAATTCACAAACATTGATAATCGCAGATGGCAGACAACCATCATCATCCATTGCGAAACATATCACTGATACATCACGGATATCCATTACAGTTTGTGAACCGTTGTAGAAAACGGCTGACACCGAAGACTTTAGTTTCCTGGGTCCCGAAGAAAGATATATTTCTTAAAGTACCATGCAGAGGGGAAACGAGTAGTATGATATTGAAGCATAGAGCAAAATCTGTTATCAGTAAAACATACACATCATTGTTGAGACAACAAAACACCTGCTTCGCCACAAATCTCAACCTCGCACAAATGATTATGCCATATCCCACTGTGTATGTGTGGGCACACATAGATAGGGATGAGTAATCGTTCAGTACGAACTAGGGTGGGTGAACGCATATCTAAATGGCTTGGAAAGCAATTTCACACACAAACATTGATAAGTGCAGGTGACAGACATCCATCGTCATCTATGGCAAAATATATCACTGAAATGAATAGCAAGGTTTATACGAAAACAGCCTTCAAGATATTATACAGGAATGATCAGGGGCGCATACTGAAGTTTGTCGAAGCGTTAGTCATTCGTAAACTTGAGTCATTGTTCAGCGTTCAAAAACAATTTGTTGTTTCACTCGATTTACCTTGGTAATTCTTTTCTCATTATACTACTGATACTAGTGTCACAACCTTTTCATATTCATTAAATTTGACGTTTCATCTTCAGATATAAATTGACTTGACAAGTAAATATGTGATCAGATTGTTCAAAATGTATTGCGCAAATACATCACATTTTTCAGGTAATCTTCTTCCTAATAGCGTCATCAAAATTCAAAACTAATGCTGATTTCCGGGAACTCAAGATGCAAACGAAGATTTTATTATAATTCAGAGCCGGGAACATAGATGAGTCGATAGTTACTTGTCGAATGGGACAACATACTCTTTCTAAACCCCTCATTATTTATAGCCTTGACATTCTACCTGTTATTTAGGAATATAAATATATATTATTGTGTGCAATATCAACCTCTGAATCTTCTGAAAACCTGTGAGTCCTAAAATTATTCGCAGCTAGCCGACGCACTGTGAAGTCTCAAGAAAAACTGGTAAACATATGTGGAAACGTCAGATTGGTTTGTTGAGTTTCCAAGTACTAGAGGATGATGTTTTCAAAATCCCTGACACTAACCAAGACCACTGTGAACGGATCAGTGAACATATTTAATAAACCGACGAAAGATTTTGTGTGTAGATTAATCTCTTAATACACTTTAGGTTGCTTAACCACCTATTTTATCCCCCAATCAACTGGCATGGAAGCTGAAGGTTATTGTTATTATTCAAGCGTTTGCAAGCGTATATTGATATATATCAACCATTATATTTATATATATGTAAAATTATTATTGTATGAACGGGCAGTATAGAGTTTTATTTTGGTGACAAAATGAGGGTTGAAGATTTATATCAACATTTCAGGAAAAGGAATCGCATCAAATTATTTACTTCAATGAACGTTATGTATTTTGAAAGACAGTACACGACCTAGAAAGTATCCAGTGGTCGCTGGAATTTGTTTCCAGTTTTTTTCATATAGCAAAACAAATCGAAGTATTATAATAAAATCTAGCTACCCACTCAAACCACCGATTACATTGCAGTTGACTTCTCACTATGGAGTTGTTTTGAGATTGTTTTCCTGAAATTGTACTGGGAAGGTATGATCTGTGGGTTCAACCAATCGGGCATGAAGACAAATACTTATGGCATCATATGATGATGACGCTGTATCTAAGATTGATATGGGTAAGAAAATGAGAGTTGTTGGGTTTTACCCCAAAGACTGAGTTGTGACATGCTAATCATGAAACCAGCTGGTACTGGACTTGATTCTTTGTGGGTCTTTGGGGCAAATTTCTGTAGATTTTCAAACAGCTGTACAGCGACCCCTGACCACCAGTGGATCTCTAACTAACATCAACCAGTTAAATAAAGTAGTTTATGACAGTAACCTTTTTACCAGAAAACTTACTTTTCAATCCAAACAAACAAGCTATCTTACAGTGTTGATTATATATTTTTTCGATGTGAAAGACTAGCAATTAGCATGACTTTGAAAACTGAAATCACTTATTTGGTTATCCACGCTCAGTAAAAACGGTGAATAAATTCATGCAGTCCCGTTGATTAATGACAACACGTCTAAGCTAAATGAATGACACACTTCAAAAAGGGATCTACCTACTCTGTGAAAGTTATACACGAAATGAAACAAAGACTTATCTGTAAAAGGCTTTAAATAGAATTTGAAGGAAAGATTTATTTCACAAGTTGTTCTAAATCTCGGTGTAATTTCCGAGCAACATTCTTAAGATTTCTAGAATGATGCTGTATTAACTGAACCACGAAAGATAAGTGTTGATACAATTATTGACCTTTTAAGCAATAAGCAAAGCAAAAAGATACTGGGAAACTATTTATTTCAGATGAATAGAGAGCATCACCAGTGAGTAATGCAATGCAAGCAGCTTTATGATAAGGTTTTAAATGATTTATATTATTAGGCTAGAATTTGTCTATTGTTTTCTATATTAGATTTGAAACTGTTCACAGCCACAAGGGTTTCATTTACACAATCAACGATTATTTCTTGACGCTTTTTAATCACTGTTCGGTCATAGACACAGAAGTTAAAATACTGATCTCAGGTCAATAAATAAACCAATATACAGTGAGGTCCTGATAATGGAAAGATGAACAAAAAGTGTGATTTTTCCAGTGGCTCAAATTCCATAGGTATGCTTCTTAAATTTGGTAACTCATAT